CAAAAAAAAAAATAAGAAAAAGAAAAAAAAGGGGGGGGGGGGGCGGGAGGGCCGAAGGGTTTCTCTGCACTTGCGGCTTACGAACTGCTTAAGGTAAGTTTTCTTCTCCTTTAATTTTCTTGATTTCTGCACATAGATGTGTGCATATAACAATATTATATAATAAATTATATATATGTGTGTATAATAATAAATGAAGAGCATATGAGTAAAAAAAAATGAAAAAATGCAGAATAGAAAATCACGTGAATAATTAGAAATTTTGGAAACATTTGAATCATTTGGATCAATGATTGGTTCATGATGAGCCAATCATTAGTGGGTCAATGATTGATTCATAATGAGCCAATCATTAGTGGGTTGAAAGGGGAAAAAATAGTGCAAAATACGTTAATGGCATCATTAGGCGTAAATTTCAGAATATTAGTTATTATATTATGGTTCAAGTTTTGATATATTGGTATGCAATTTAAATATTAGATGAATAAGATTTTGTGAATACCATTTAAATTATGACGTTGGAAAAATTTGGGATGCAATCCTTTTTTTAAAACTTGAAAACTATGATAGTGGAAATTTTAATTGACATCAAGAATTATAAACTTGATTATAAATTTGGGGTGTATTTTTAGTTAAAGGTTAAACACATAAAAGTGTGAGTGTTGTTAGTTCTGAAACCTTATTGTGAATATATACTTGAATAGATTCCATTGGTTCAGAAGCTCAACGGAAAGGGAAGGCTCAAGTCCAAGAGTAATTATTCGATTGGCTAAGGCAAGTGGATTTCTAAACTCTTGTTAAGCGTATGAAATTCATGTATTTCCTTGTGTGGTGTTGAGAACGATTTGGAGACTTGTTGCTTATTTGTTAGTGTTGTATTCCTTGCTGTAAATTGTGCTTTGTTATCAAAATGGTTATCTCCTCATTTTCATTTGAGCATGTCAATTGCATTGTATCTGAGACATGATTATGGTATAAGGATGTATCATTTCGAGGGTCGTATCGCGCGCCGCGATGGATATTATATTTCGAGGGACGTAATCGCGCGCCGCGAAAGTTACTATTATCGAGGGTCGTGTCGTACGCCGGGACAGATGCATGGACAGATATGTCCCCCATGGGTCCCGGACTGAGAGACAACGGGTGTGTATCGTTAAGAAAGACATGCATCATTATACTTGACATTGCATCTCATGGCATTGCACATTTTATTATTGATGAACTTGAACACGTGTTTTGCTGATCTTGTGATTGTTTCTCTGTGAAGATTGTGACTGTTGAATATTGAGTTGTTATTGAGAATGTGTAAACTGATAGAGTGTGGTTATTGAGTTGTGTGTTTGGTAAACTGTAAATTATTAGGCTGTAGCGTGGAGGTTTAGATAGGGTGTAAGGAGTACCCGTATTTTGTCCACTTAACGTGTGTTTAGAGGTTTGCTTGTTGGGTACCGCGTGGTTTGGTACTCACCCCTTGCTTCTACAATTTTTTTGTAGGTTACGAGCCTGGATCTTCGTGACACCTGTCATTCTTTTCGTTTCCGAGGCATCTTGTGGAGGGTTGTGAAGTAGCTGCTTGTCATCTCAGCGAACTTTCCTACTCCAGTTTATGACTTTGTTTTTACTTGAAAGACAACTTCATTTTAGACTTTTATTTTATTTCAATTCTAATATTCACATTAGAGGCTTGTGCACGTGACAACCTGGTTTTGGGGATTGAATTAATATGACTTGGTTTCATACTAGAAATTGTTGTTGGATTGTCATTTACTTCCGCACTTTGTTACATATTGGGTTTTAGGCTGACTTGTCTTGGTGGGATAAGACAAGTGTCATCACACCTATTTTTGGGTCGTGACAAAATGGTATCAAAGCCCGAGGTTCATAGGTCTCATGTGTATACAAGCCGAGTCTATGTAGAGTCTCAAGGATCAGTACGGAGACGTCTGTACTTATCTCTGAGAGGCTATGAGGATTACTAGGAATCTTCTTTTTGTTCATTCTTTCTCATCGTGCATAGTCACCTTCTTTAGTACTGAGTTGTTGTATACTCTTTTGAAAGATGACGAGAACTAGAATTAATGTTACTTGTGGTAGAGGGGAGGCACTTCCCGAGGCAATTGTTGAGTCCCTAGCTAGAGGTAGGGGTAGATCTCGAGCTAGAGGTCGTGCTAGTTGTACGACAGTAGCTAGAGGTCATGGACGTGGAGCAGCACCAGTAAGAGGTCGTGCTAGAGAGGTCTCTACAGAACCTCAGATTGATGGCAGGGAGGACCAGGTTCCTCCAGATCCTGTAGTCACACCTTTGCTTCAGGATACACTATTGAGGGTGTTAAGTGTGACAGAAGGCTTTTCTCAGGGTGGTGGGGCGACTACCACACCACATGACTCTCGTACTAGAGAGGGGGCTCAGACCCAAGAGCAGCAACAAGCTCCAGTTGTTCAGGATGCGGTGGGACAACTACTAGTAAGATCCCGCGGTTCAGAATGATGTTGCACCAGCAGTTGGGGGTCAAGTTGCATCGATGGTTGTTCTGACAGAGGATGAGCAGCGTAGGTATGAGAGATTTCGAAAGATGGACCCACCTCAGTTTCAGGGTGGGAAGAGCGAGGACGCTCATGAGTTTCTAACTACCTGCCGAGAGTTACTAGAGGTGGTTGGATTAGCTGAGTCACATGGGGTTCGATATGCTACACTCCAGCTTCGTGGACTAGCGAGGAGACTGGTGGAGGACTTATTCGGGGGGTTTGCCAGTTGGATCTCCTCCAGTGACTTGGGAGCAGTTTGCTAGTGCATTCCAAGATTGTTTTATCCCATGGAGCGTGAGAGAGGAGAGTCGCTTGAGGTTTGAGAGTCTAAGACAGGATGGTTTATTGGTTACAGAGTATGAGGCGCGTTTTTGCCAGTTGTCTAGGCATGCGTTGGCCATTATTCCAAATGAGACAGAGAGGATTCGCAGATTTGTGAGGGGATTGACTTTTTCTATCAGGTCAGCTCTGTTTCGGGCATCTAGGGAGGGGGCTTCTTTCCGGTCCATTGTGAGCGCCGCCAAAGAGGCAGAATTGATGGAGAGAGAGGAGTTTGGGGACCCTAAAAGGGCCCGTATATCAGGCCAGTTTCATAGTGCCTCATCTGGAGGTAGGGGATCACAGAGAGTGAGTGGTTCTTTTCAGCAGCGGGGACCTATTAATGCATCTATGCCGACATTTGAGGGTGGCCAGACATCTAGGGGTTCTTATAGCCCGGGTCAAGGCTCGTATGGTTTACAGCAGCGACCTACAGGGCGAGGAAATTATAGTGGGTTTTCAGGGTCCACACAACAGTTTCCAGGTCAGAGATTTTGTTTCACTTGTGGAGATCCCGATCATCTAATGCGGCGGTGTACTTCACAAAGGGGTCGTGGTGGGGCTCGACCTAATTCATCATTCCAGACTAGACCACCAGCACCACAGGGTAGAGGTCGTGGCAGAGTTCAGTCAGGTAGAGGTGATAGAGTTTCTAGTAGTGGTGTTGCAGCTCAGCAGAGTGGGGGTAGAGGTACCACCCAGGATTGAGGTGGACGAGGAGGACACTTCTATGCTTTCCCCGGGAGACCTGAGGCGGAGACCTCTGATGCTGTTATTACAGGTATCATCCCAGTATGCCATTGACCTGCGTCTGTGTTGTTTGATCCAGGTTCTACATTCTCTTATGTGTCTACGTATTTTGCTGCTAAATTTGATATGATATGTGATAGCATGACTGTACCTATTCGTGTTTCTACACCCGTGGGTAAGGCCTTAGTGTTGGATCGAGTGTATCGATCCTGTCTTGTTTCATTGGCTGGGTATGACACTTGGGTAGACTTAATCATTCTGGGGATGGTAGACTTTGATATTATCTTGGGTATGGATTGGCTTTCTCTTTATCACGTTTTCCTTGATTGTAATGCTAAGACTGTGACTTTAGCAATGCCTGGTGTTCTGAGGGTTGAGTGGAAGAGTGTTAGAGGAGACTTGTTGCTTATTTGTTAGTGTTGTATACCTTGGTGTAAATTGTTCTTTGTTATCCAAATGGTTATCTCCTTATTTTCATTTGAGCATGTAATTGCATTGTATCTGAGACATGATTATGGTATAAGGATGTAACATTTCGAGGGTCGTATCGCGCACCGCGATGGATATTATATTTCGAGGGACGTATCGCGCACCGCGAAAGTTACTATTATCGAGGGTCGTGTCATACGCCGCGACAGATGCATGGACAGATATGTCCCCCATGGGTCCCGGACTGAGAGACAGTGGGTGTGTATCGTTAAGAAAGACATGCATCATTATACTTGATATTGCATCTCATGGCATTGCACATTTTGTTATTGATGAACTTGAACACGTGTTTTGCTGATCTTGTGATTGTTTCTCTGTGAAGATTGTGACTGTTGAATATTGAGTTGTTATTGAGAATGTGTAAACTGATAGAGTGTGGTTATTGAGTTGTGTGTTTGGTAAACTGTAAATTGTTAGGCTGTAGCGTGGAGGTTTAGATAGGGTGTAAGGAGTACCCGTATTTTGTCCACTTAACGTGTGTTTAGAGGTTTGCTTGTTGGGTACCGCGTGGTTTGGTACTCACCCCTTGCTTCTACAAATTTTTTTTGTAGGTTACGAGCCCGGATCTTCGTGACACCTGTCATTCTTTTCGTTTTCGAGGCATCTTGTGGAGGGTTGTGAGGTAGCTGCTTGTCATCTCAGCGAACTTTCCTACTCCAGTTTATGACTTTGTTTTTACTTGAAAGGCAACTTCGTTTTAGACTTCTATTTCATTTCAATTCTAATATTCACATTAGAGGTTTGTGCACGTGACAACCTAGTTTTGGGGATTGAATTAATATGACTTGGTTTCATACTAGAAATTGTTGTTGGATTGTCATTTTACTTCCGCACTTTCTTAGATATTGAGTTTTAGACTGACTTGTCTTGGTGGGATAAGACAAGTGTCATCACACCTATTTTTGGGTCGTGACAAATTTACACAATAAATTTCAAAAGTTTCATTATTTTTCTCAAACATCATGTCAAATCAAATAATGCTTGAAAAAAAAATATTATTTTATAAAATAAACACTTTTGACTTCCTAGAAACTAATAGCACCAATAGAAGCACCTGCACCGGCAAGGGCACCTGCAACAACAGCATCGTTGAATGCATTAATAGCATCAAGGAATACTATTAATGAGACGATGAAGGCTTGATCAATGTTCGGATACATTGTCACCATAAAATTTTCTTTTCCAATTAGTAAGCTCTTAGCAGTAATTTTCTTATGCATCTGCAATAAGTCATTCCCAATAATATAGTGTAAGTTTAATATCATGTTCATTAAAATAATGAATATATATATATATATATATATATATATATATATAGAGAGAGAGAGAGAGAGAGAGAGAGAGAGAGAGAGAGAGTTAATAACTTTGATGGTCACACAACTATTAATTGTTTTCACAGAAAATCACTCAACTTTTATTTTCAACTCAAAAGTTACTCAACTATGATTTCTTTGCACAGAAAATCACTCAACTTTCATTTTCAACTCAAAAGTCACTCAACTATGACTTTTTTGCACAGAAAGTTACTCAACCTATTTAGTTGTTTTTTCATTAGAATTTAGTGATATAAAATTTTAATTATCAACCAAAATTTAAGAATTGAATATATATCCATTTAAACCATTTAGTGATCCGTTCATTTTATCCAATCCGCTAAAAATATAATATTTAACATTTATTTTACTATTAATTTCCTAAATCATTCCCCATTGAACATTGAACATTTTATTTTATCATTAATTCACTAAAAGTATGGGAGACAAGGAAGAATGATTTAGGGAATTAATAGTAAAATAAAATGTTCAATATTATATTTTTAGTGGGTCGGGTTAAATGGAGTGGTTCATTAAATGGATATATATTCAATTCTTGAAATTTTGGTTAATAATTAAAATTTTATGTCACTAAATTTTAATGAAAATAACAATTAAATAGATTGAGTGACTTTCTGCGCAAAAATGCACAGTTGAGTGACTTTTGAGTTGAAAATGTTGAGTAACTTTTCTATGCAAAGAAGTTATAATTGAGTGACTTTTGAGTTAGAAATGAAAGTTGAGTGACTTTCTGTGAAAACAATTGATAGTTGAGTGACAATCAAAGTTATTAACTCCTAATGATTGTAGAGTATATTTTTTTGTAAATCGCTATTTTTTTCTATAGATTTTATGTAAAATTTGTTATTGTTAATACATCAAATTAAATGTATAAGAAATAATATCAGCATTATTAATACATGCGTTATTAATATATTTTATTTAATATTATTCTTGTACCAACATAAATTTATTAAGAAAGAAAGTACATAACCTAAATTCAGACAAGTCAAAACCTAGTTATTAATATATTTTATTTTATATTATTCTAGTACCATCTATCAAACTTGATAAATTTATTAAAAGAGAAAGTACATGAAAGAAAACACCAAGTCAGAACCCTGTGTAATAATATCTAGGGTTGAACCCAACACCTTCCCTTGACTGGCTCTATAAAGAGTAGGTAAAAGGGCCAAAAGTAATACAAAATTATTCAAAATAGGCCTAATTTATTTTTCATTTAGATAATTGGAGGTATTTTGAGATAAAAAATTTAGATAATTGGAGGTATTTTGAGATAAAAAATTAATGGGAACATATATTGACACCCAATTTTGATCCTCCTCGACAAAAATTAATTCACGAGCATATTAGACTCTGAACGAGGTGATATAATTAACTTTACATAATTTTTTTATTTCTTCTTTCTCTTTCTTAAGTCTCTGAAAGTAGCTTTAATCAGTTTCTATAGTCTTTAAATGATATATATTTTATACGTCTTTATATAATAAGTTTATTTTCAAAAATCGTCTCAAAAAAATTTTGATTCCTTAATTTATGATAAATTTATTAGTTTGTCTTGTCATAGTTTATTTAATATATATATAATTTATAATAATGATTTATTTTATAAAGTATTCGAAAACCTTCTAAAAAAAGATTTAGTTTTACTTAAGGCCTCATTAATTTGATTTTGTCTAATTTATTTGTTTATATTTCTTAGCCATTAGTTATATTTAGTTTTAACTATCCTATCTCGTCAAAGTCAAAAGCTCGTTGATTAGTTTTGGTCAATTCATCTTTTTTGGACTTTGGCTAATTTATGATTAAATTCATTTGGCTAAATTGTTTTCCCTTTTAAGCCCACCCGAATGTAATGTAATGATTAGTTTAGGATAGGTGCAAATCAAGTGGGTCAAAAACCCTAAAATAAAATGGGTTTAAATATCGATTCAGGCGGAAAGAAAACTCGAATTTGGATTCAACTCTCTCTTCTCTCTCTTTTCCCTTTCTTATTTTTCGTTTATTTATTTGCTTTATTTGTCGATAATTTTAAAGTTAAAAAATTCAAATTTCCGTAAATGTTTTATCGACTTAAAATCGAACCTAAATGAAATCTAAAAGGACAAATAAACTTGCAAATCAAATTCTTACTTTGATAGTAAAATTAAATACTTCATTTTTCAAATAGCTCTAAATAATTTTTATTCAAACTTTAAGAGTTGCGGATATTAACAAATATTTAGGTGCCTTAAAAACCTTCCCAAAATATAAATAGGAATCCCCGAACCCCTTTAAAATTTTCAAAACGATTTTTCTGCTAAGTCTTTTTGAAAACATAGATTTCTTAAAAAATAAAATGATGACTCTAAAAAGTCAAAAAACTTATTAAAAAAATAATTTTCTGATAAAACAATATATTTGAATCGAAATATGACGAGGGATAAATTTGACCTATTTTATATATTTCAAGAGTCTTTTGCCCCTTTTTTTTCATCTAAAAAGTATTATAAAATGATAAAAATATCATAGTAATAATATCATTATTCTCAAAATAATAATACTATCACTAATTTAATTTTTAAAAATAAATATGACGGAAAATTTTCATTTTACTATAGCAAATTAAACTATATGTTTATTTTTTTCTTTTTGGCTTTCTCAAAAGAAAAAAAGGATAAATATATCCTCGAATCATCGTAAAGAGTATGTAAATATCATTCGTCATACTTTTGAAATATTGATGTCCATGTCATTCAAAAACTAGAGAATATATGACCTTCACTGTAATGGAAGAGTAAATAGGACACATGGTACAATCTTATCCGTCGATTTGATGTTTAATAAGTGCCGGGTCGATGGATCGGATAAGATTATGACATGTGTATGTTTGCTAGTATAAATGATATATATGCTCTAATTTTTGAACGACGGGGGCACCAATGTTCCAAAAAGCATGACGGATGATATGTGCATATAGTTTAGGGTTATATTTGTTCTTTTTTCCTTCTCAAAATAGTGTTTTTTCTATATTTAGTACTAAGATTTCCAATTTCAACATTCTACGTGACAAACTTAAGATCATAACATCTAGAGGACTACACATATTTTTAGTTTAAAATCACAAAATTCAAAAATATTCTTTTATTTCTTAAATTTAGTGTTAAATCAAACGAAAATACTTAAAGAGAGTAACAAAAGAAAAGTAAGATATGAACGATAGCTAACCTGAGCAACTATGGTAGAAGAATCTCCAGCATATATTACACATGATCTATCAAACCAATTTCCCTTAATCAAATAATCACAATTCTTTTCCTTGGAATTGTTATTTGCTAAGAAGACAGCCAATTTGGTCTTCCATTGAATTATAGATGTTGTCTTTATAGTAAATAAAAAGTCTTTCTCATCTGTGCTTTCTCCTTTAAATGCATTCCATCTCGAGTGCTCTGTCAATATCTATACAAAAATTAATTAACGGTAAAAACTTTAATTTTAAAGTAAAAATATTTATACTATCATCACTAGTAATTAAAGTTATAACAAGTATTATTATGATAAGTATAAAATTTTAACAATTTTGGTATTACAAATTAAAATTTAATGACAATAAAAGATATCTATTAACTATCAATGTTTACAAACTTGAACCTATGGATGTTGAAGTTATACTTACTGATGATAATGTAAAAACGAATTCACACTATACGTATAATTAAACGATTTATACTTGGTTATTGTTTTAATTTTTAGGTTATCATGAAAGCTCGATATGAAGAGTATACATCTTTTTTTTTTTTTCAATCGGTGTCTGATACGTAAATTGGAGCCTAAATAAATTCGAATTTTTGCCGGAAAATCCCACATTGGGGGTCTCCCTAACAAAGGCGACTTCGTATCCAAGGAGGCTCGAATCCGAGACCACTTGATTAAGGATGAAGAAGTATTACTTATTATTCCACCATAACCCTTGTTTGTGAGTATATATCATGTTACTGCTTTGCGCATATGAGGCTATGATTAGATAAAACCTATATTTATCGATCAATATATAGAATGAAAACTTTTATTTTTTTGTGTAGATATAGCTTCCTTAGGGTTTGACTTGTAGTATTAACTAATATAAGTTGAGTGCAGTGTTGAGACTACTCCACCCTTAACCAGAGGTCTTGAATTTGAACCTTAGATATATATGGAAATATTTTTTGTTGGAGACGTCAACTCAAATGAGCCTTGTGTGCAGTGAACGATCCAGATTTAGTTAAAGCTCCATTGCGGACTAGGTGGGAAAAAAAACTTACAACATGAACTTTCCCTCCCTTATTTGATTTTTTTACAACTTTTTTATAACCTAGCTATTTATTATTATTTTAAAAAACTATAATACAGGAATATCTCTGAAATTAAACTTTTTAAAAAATCATATTGTACCTTTTGTTTGAGAGTGATGAGGGGATTATCAGCAGCATCAAGAATAACTCTCTTATCATGCCATCCAAAAGTTTTGCCTTTAACTTTGAACATGAAGTTTCCATTCATATCTGAAACAACAAATTCTCCATATCTAAGTGTCTTCACCTTCCTAGATATAACAACATCAACCTCGTTCGGCGTGCAATATTCGGATCCAATTATCGCAACTGGATCATTAGCCATAATTGCATAACTTGATTCTGCCATGAACAATGATCAGTGACTTTTACTCGTTAGTTATGCAAAAATTTAGAGAACTTGGCAATACTCTTTTATTTTTTTAAGAAATAATCAAATGACATCTCTATTTATGGTTTTTTTATTTTTATTTTTTTTGGTTTTCAGACGAATTGGTCTGATTGTAGAGACGTGTATATGTTATTTATAATTAGTCAAGTATTATTCTAACCTGTCCTTTTAGTTGAAAATTTCAACTTTGATTTTTCACCATAAGTATATCAAGATTTGTTGCTAGGTCTTAGTCGTCCCTTTTTCTTTCATATTTAATTTGTATGAAATACGTAATAATTAGGGGTGTCAAATGGACGGGTTGAGTTGAAATTGAGATATCAAAATGGGTTGATATAGAAATCGAGTTGACTCTTAACCTGCCTAAATTTTCTTTGGCTCAAATAGGTTGGGTTCAAATGGACTAAAAACAAAATTGGGTCTTGACCCGTTCAATTTAACCCGATTAATCTCAATAATTTACACAAAGTGATATTTAACTTTTGAGGGAAAAGGGTCAAATATGCCCCTAAACTATTCGAAAATGTCTAGATATACTCTCCGTTTAAAGTTTGGTTCACTTATGCACTTGTCGTCCAACTTTCGGTCCAAATATGCCCTTATGGGCGTTAGTTGTCATGTTGGACATATTCAACTCATTTTTCATTTCTTTAAATGCCATATGGAATTGTCATGTCATTTTGACCTTACCACATGACATCTATATGAAAATGGAAAGATATCGAACTCATAAACACCTAATCTGACCCATAAATCAATTCCTTTTAAATACACTATCCGACTCATTTTTACAATTTTGTTTGATTTTTATTTTTTCGGAAATTCCAAAAATGAGTAATTGAATAATAAAAAATATGAAAAAAATAATAATAAAATTAACGCAAAAAATTCGCAAACATAACTGATACCTACATAACTAAACCCTGCATAACTAATACCTACATAACTAAATCCTGCATAACCAAACCATGTATAGCTAATACCTGCATAACTCTAGCCCGTAACCAAACAATCCCTAAATAATTTCTATCATTGTTTATGAACTACTTGTAACTCTCTTTACATTCTTACTATTTTGGCATGTGTTCATATAAAAAATCAAAATTAGTAACTTTTTATTTGTATCAATCATAGAGATCTTGGATGATCATCATCCTCTTCGGCCTTTCACTTTAACTATCTTAAGAAGAAGAGATGAGACATTTGCTGGAAAATGAAGTGATGTTACATTGTTGTAACGACTCACATGATCGTTTTGTTCGCTTTAATCTATTCTCTAGCTTGATCCTTTTTGTAAATTCACTATGACTTGCGAAAATAGTTGGCAAAATATCCAAGGTGATAGTATAAGGATTGACCAAGATTTTTCAGTTTTAAATGTTTAAAATTTGGGAGGTTTGACAAAAGGTGATAGTTCATTTGTGGATTGATACATGTAGTCTCACTAATTGTATAAACTCTTAAGAACAATATGGTTATTCTACCACAAATTTAACATGATTCAATGTTGTTTCTCTCCCAATTTTTACTTGGGAAACTTTGATTATTCGGAGAACCTGGTCCATATTGATTGTTCTGAGAATATATTTCGTGTTCACCAAACTTGAAACTGTTGTTTTCTTTTCCCTGTCCCATTAGGCGGAGAATTAATATCATGTGATAGTTTTGTTGTGACATATATCCTTATAATAAAAGCTCTTAGAACATTAATAAATTGATCAAGGATGAGATATGATGCCTCACATAACATGACAGTCCTGAAGGTCTTATATTTGAGACATAAACCTCTAGCAAAATTAATTGCTTTGCTATCTTCATCCACAGTTTTGTGAATGTCTGCTAGGCCATCACATATGTCTTTGAATTTCTTGATGTATTCATCAATCTTTTTAGTTCCTAGTTTAACACTTTGTAGTTGCGTTATTGTTTAAGCTGAAATTCCTTATCTTTTGTTGCTTGAAGATAAGATTTTTCCAACCATTCAAACATCTCCTTGACAGTTGAGCAATTTATAATTAGGTACATGTTTTCTTCATTCATGATGCCTGAGATCTAACTCCTTAGCAACACATCTTTCTCCTCCCAGTCATCAATGCTACAACTATCTTTTGATCTTTCTCAACGGCTACAACTTTTTTCAGCAGCCTCTTTCGTGAAACAATTGTTTTTAGTTGGTTCATTCTCTATGATGAAATAGGTTAGTCTCATCACATGAATCAATTGGAATATTTGTGTCCTCCATATTAGGTAATTTGTTGGTTTAAGTTTAATAGAACAAGTGACAATGAGTTAGTGAAGTGAGGAGGTCGACATAGTATTGGTAGAGGGGGTCATTGCAGTTGAATGTGTGTGTTTATTTTCGTTAATCAATACTCAGAGAACCTAAGAGATTTTAAGCCTTGATACCATGTAGAGTTTCCATGTCTAGTATTAGAAAAATCAAGGATTGTATTGATGATTAAAATTGTTAAATACATACTTCTTATATAGGAAAAGAATTGTAGAGTTTTAAGTTAACTATACTTAGATTCCTACGATACTTATTGCTACTATAATAATAATACAATTATAAATAATCTAATCCTAGTCGACTTCAGTTATTTCAAAAAGTAAGTCTAATCGATATAAGTGACCTAAACCTAGAGTGACTTTAACTCACATTGCTTGAATCAAAATATTCAACCTGTCCCGTGTATTTAAATTTTTTTTTTCAACAGTTAGGTGTTTATCATGATATTAGAATTTGGATCGTAAAAATATCCACATGGAATCATATCTTAGTCATTTATCTTTTAGCTCCTGTGGGTATCATTAACACTTCTATGGTTCGCTTATTATGTCATGAAGCTCATAATTACTAATGTAAATTATTTAAAACATTTATGGGACTTCACATCTTGATTAATTTTTTTTAAGAAAAGAGTAAAAATTACCACTTGAACTAAAAATAACTTTCTTAATTGAAATAATATATTATAATAACAAGTGACAACTCTCTAAAATAAATATGGATTGCTTCGTTCCATCTTATGTCTGACCTTTCCTTTTATTTAGTCCTAAAAAGAATATAATCTAATTACAAGTGGCAATAATTTAAGTTTAAAATCTTCATATTACTTTTAAAGAAATGATTTATAATTATTCAAATATTTAAGAATTATTTCAGACTATAAATTTTTAAAGAAAAATTCCTTTTTTTCCATAAACTTAACGTTTAAGTCAAACGATATTACATAAAATGAACCAATATAAAATAAACACTTTTTAACTTCCGAGAGCGACACCTACAACAGCAACATCGTTGACTACTATTAATGAGTCGATGAAGGCTTGATCAATATTTGGATACATTGTCACCATAAAATTGTCTTTTCCAAACAATAAACTTTTAGCAATAATTATCTTATGCATCTGCAATAAGTCATTCACACCAATAGTGTAAGTATTATAATGTATTAACTTTGTTAACTTTGTGTTATTAATATCTTTTTTGATATACATTTAGATAATGTATAAATAATACTTATATTAGTTATACAATACTCTATTATGTATTAAAATGTATATTATTAGCTAATACAACGAATTTTCGTATATTAGTAATATAAAGAATTATAACACCTCCATTAAATTGATTAATGATATAACTATCCCTCAAATCCCTCACATAACATTTTCATTTTTCAAAGCTAATGGGTGTAGAGTATATTTTTGTAAACCAGTTTTTTTTCTTATAGTAGAACTTATGCAAGATTTGGTATTTTCTTATACATAAAATAGAATAGAATATAAGAAATAATGTAACCATTACTATTTGAACACATTACTATTGAACTTTATTAAACATTATTCTTAAATAATAATTGTGTTACTCACTTAATTTATAAAAAGAAATATAATTAAATAATTTCATTTTACTATATAAAAAATGAAATTATGTGTCTTATTTTTCTTTTTGGGTTTTAAAATAGTATTTTTTTTTACATTTAGTAAGTTTTATAATTTCAGCATTACTCTAAGATAATCTTAAGATCACAAGACTTAAAGGACTACACACGTCTTTATTTTAATAACATAATATTCATAAATCTCTCCTTATTTTTTAAATTCAATGTTAAATCAAACTAAGATGAGAGAGAATAACAAATAAAAAGTAAAATCAACATTAGCTAGCCTGAGCAACTATGATAGAAGAATCTCCGGCATATATTGCACATAATCTATCCGACCAACTTCCCTTAATCAAATAATCACATTCTTCTCCTTAGAATTGTTATTTGCTAAGAAAATAGCTAATTCGATCTTCATTTTCAATTGAAATATAGATGTTGTCTTTATAGTAAATAAAAAGTTTTTCATCAGTGCTTTCTCCTTTATATGCATTCCATCTCAAATGCTCAGTCAACATCTATACAAAAATTAATTGACAGCAACAACTTTAGATTTAACGTAAATATATTTATATGATCATCACTTGTAAAGTTACTACAAGTAAAATATTATGATAAGTATAAGATTATAACTATTTAGGTATTACAAATTGAAATTTATTTGTTAATGCAAGATATCTAGTTCTTAAACCTATAATGTAAAAAAAGAATTCACACCATTAGTATAACTAAATGATATATACTTGATTATTAATTACTTTAATTTTCATGTTACTATATAAATTTGATATGAAGAATATTTATCATGTTAGTGGGTTCACATACAAGTCTATGATTAGAAATAACTTATTAATATCGATATATAGAACAAATTAAAAATAATTTTAAATATATCTTCCTTAAGGTTTGAGTTGCATTGTAGTATTAACTAACACAAGTTGTGGAGCTGGAATTGCCACCTCTAATTAAAAATCTCGAATTTGAACTTTGAATATAAAGAAAATTTTGTTGAACATGCCACCCTAAATGAAATCGGCAGTGAGCCATCTGAATTTAGTTGAAACTCTATTGCTAAATCTAGATACAGTGTGGGGAAAAAAAGGGAAAATGCACAAGTATCCCTCTAGACTATAACCAAAATTTCAGAGACACACCTTAACTAAACTAAGACCCTATTACCGCCCTGAAAACTTATTATTTATTTATTTATTTGTAATTTTATACACCTTTTGTCTTACGCGGCACACTTCGTGAATTCATGCAATTGATGCGCGTGGGAGATATTTGGATGCCACGTAAGCCAAAAAGGTGCACAAAATTACAAAAAAATAAGTTTAATGGAGGTAACAGTACCTTAGAATAGTTAAAATGTGTCTCTAAAATTTCGATCACAGTCTATGAAGATTATTGTGCATTTTCCCCGGAAAAAACTTATAACATGAACTTACCCTCCCTCATTATGATTTCTTTATAACATTTTCTATAGAACCTATCCACTAAATTAACCTTCTACTATGTACCTTTTGTTTGAGAGTGATCCAGGGATTATCAGTAGCATCAAGAATTAATCTCTTATCATGCCATCCAAAAGAATTGCCTTTAACTTTGAACATGAAGTTTCCATTCATATCTGAAACAACAAAATCCTCCATATCTAAGTGACTTCACCTTCCTAGATATAACAACATCAACCTGGTTCGACGTGCAATATTCAGATTCAATTACATAATTATCCATACTTGCATAACTTGATTCCGCCATGAACAATGATCAGTAACTTTTACTTGTTCGTTATGCAAAAGTTTACAACAAAAAAAAAGATGTGAAAATACTTTTTTCTTCTTACGATATTTTTTCTGTTTAGAGTATATATTGTTTGTAGTTTAATGTTTGTTTATATAATAACGGGATAATGCACAAGTATCCCCTCAATCTATGCCCGAAATCTCAAAGACACACTTGTACTATACTAAGATCTTATTACCCCTGAACTTATGTAACGACCTGTTTAGTCATTTTGAACGGCAGATTTTATTTCTGGAAAAACAGGCTGAGGCAACGGACCCCACGATGGACCGTCATGGGCACGACGGACCGTCGCAGGGTCTCGTTTCAAAACACTTAGAAAATCTGAAATTGGGTACTGAAAATCGATTCTCTGAACTTCG